GACGTGGCACCGCCTGCCCTGCACCCCATGCTGCAGCTTCTCCTGAGTGCCAGCCAGCCTGCAGGTCACAGCCCAGGTCACAGCCCTGAAAGTCACCGCACACATGTGAGCAGAGCTCCCGGGGGAGGTGGGCGTGGGCAGGGTCTGTTCTCACGCCTCAGCCCCCCCGTGCTGTGGCCTTGCCGGGACAACCTCAGGCCTGCCCCAGCCTCGCGTGCTGTGGACAGGGCACGGTGGGGGGGCCCAGTCCCCACAGCCCCCACCACACGAGTGCACGGAGCAAGAGGTTTCCAGTCCGGAGGAGAGAGGCCACCCTGTCCCCGGCAGGCAGCAAAGGCGCCACCCAGCCCCGACTTCCCATCCCTGCCTCCTGGTCCTCTGCTGCCCCCTGCTCTGTTCCTCCGGGGCAGAGGTGCCCGGCAGCTTGGCAGTGTCTGGGCTCACTCTCCCACTCCCTGCACCGGGGTCGGGGGCTCCCCACGCCCCGGCCCTGCAGTGAGGCACTGAGTCCTGCCCAGGGGAGGCGAAGCCCTGGATTTGAAAGTAACTACAGTCCTCACGACACCGGTGACCGAGCGGAGACAACCCGAGGACGCACACACTCGTGAGAGCTTTGCAGGCTGCGTGGCCTCCGAGCTGGGGCGACCTGGCCCATGAGCCCCGCTCCAGGCCCCTGGGGACCGAACGCTCCCCCGCAGAGTCCTCTGTGAAGCCGGTAAACACCCAGCGTGGTGGGGTCAGGAGATGGGGCCTTTGGGAGGTGATCAGGGCCCCCGCGAGGAGAGAGTGAGAGCGGAGCCCCTTCCCTGGCCGCCACTGAGGACACAGCCAGGGACGCCCTCACGGACCCCGCCACGCTGGCACCTGACCTCAGACTCCCCGGCTCAGAGCCGTGAGAGGTCAGGGGCCGCCGTCGGAGCCCAGGCTGTGGGTTTTGTGAGGATGCCCTCGGGACAGCAGCCCATCCCTGGGCACCACAGGGCGCTGTCCACCCGCCTCTGGCTGCGTGTGGACGATGCTGCTGACGTGTGGGCCTGGGTGCCGGGGCTTAGGCCGCCCTCATGGCTAGCACCTTCCCGACGCCCCCGAGGGAGACAGTCCTGGGGCTGCGTCTTCCAGCTCGGTCTGCGGTCGGGAGGAGGTCACAGAGCCTGGAAGCTGCCTCAGGGACGGCTCTTGTCCTTTTAGCCTCCAGAACCCAGTAACCCCAAACCTCCTTCTCAGGTTCCCGCCACACCTGTCCCAGGTGAGAGGCCACCTCTGCACCCAGTGTGTGCCAGGCAGGGCTCATCCCCTGCTGGGGAAGCTGGAGCCCCCGCTCCCCCGAGGCCACCCTGCTGGCCACTAGTTGGCTGAGGCTCTGGGCGCCACAGAAGGAAAAAGGGGTGGAGGGAGGAGAGAGAGAAAGGGAAGGAGGGAGGGAGGAGGGAAGGAAGGAAGAAGGGGGGAGGAGGGAAGAGGGAGGAAGGGGAGAGGAAGGGCAGGAGGGGGGAGGGAGAGAAGGAGGAAGGAGGAGAGGGAGGAGGGGAGGGAGGAGGGGAAGGAGGGAAGGGGAGGGAGGAGAGGGAGGGAGGGGAGGGAGGAGAGGGAGGGGAGGGAGGAGAGGAGGGAGGAGAGGGAGGAGGGGACGGAGGGAAGGGAGGGGAGGGAGGAGGGGAAGGAGGGAAGGGGAGGGAGGGGAGGGAGGAGAGGGAGGGGAGGGAGGAGAGGGAGGGAAGGGAGGAGAGGAGGAGGGGAGGGAGGAGGGGAGGGAGGAGAGGGAGGGGAAGGAGGAGAGGAAGGAGGGGAGGGAAGGGAGGGAGGGGAGGGAGGAGGGGTTGGCTGGAATGATGGATACTGGGCACGTAGACGGGTGGAGGGACTCAAGGGCTGAGCTGCGGGGAGAACGCTGGGGCTTGGGCCCTTCTGGGGTGACGGGCAGAGACGTACAGGAACAGCTTCCCAGGTCTCCTGCGGCCACTGTGAGTCCTGCGCTCCCCACAGCCCCTCACTCTTTCGAGGACAGTGTGCCTCCTGCTGTCTGAGCGTCGCTCTGTTCCTTCACTGCAGACGCCCGCGTGGGACCCTCAGCCTGCACGATCCGGCCACCAGATGGGGGTGGGTGCTAATGAGCCCAGACCACTGGTCACTAATGGGCTGAGGCCACCAGTGGCAGATGGAACCAGGGACAATTGGGCTGACAGAGAGGCCCCTCGCCCAGGGTTTGGGTGACCCGGACATCCTGGGCCAGGGCAGTGGGGGCAGGGGGTGCCCAGCAGATGCCAGGCTGCCCGCTCCAAGCTCAGGTGCCTGGAAGCTCCCTGGGACACCCATGTCCGTCCACCTCCTGCTCCAGTCTCAGGGACCCCACAGGGACGGGAGGTGGGTGGGGGGTGCTGGGCAAGTGGGAGGGGCTGTGCTGGGCGCGACCCCTCCAGCAGAAAGAAGAGCGAGGCTTCCTGGGCGGCCCGGCACGATGGCCCCAGAATCCTCTCAGGGTCAGCTCTGCCCTGGAGGGGACGGAGGCGCGGCCAGCTCACCCATAAACTTGTCCTAGCGATTTATGAGGCTTGGCCCGCACGGGTGGGGATAAGCCAAGGTGGGGCCGTGGCCTCTGGCTGGAGCAGGGAAGGAGGACGCCCTTCACCACAAACGCTCGCCAGGAGCTCCAAGTCCACTCAGCTACTGGGGGTTCCGTCCAGCTGGAGTCAAACCCCCCCGGGTGACAAGGACCCCCGCGGGTCTCACACAGGCCCCCTCAGGAGGTGCAGACCCAAGTAGTCAGAGGGTGGAAGGTGCTTCCTCCCGGCTGGTGTGCCCGGGTGCCCGGCGTCTCCCACCGCGGGCGGACGGGAGGAGGTGGAGGCTCCCGGTCACCTGAGAACCGACCGCGCGGAGGAATTTCTGCCCCAGAGGCAGCTGGAAAGCAGGGCAGCATCACCTAGGCTGCGGCTCATAAACCCGCTCAGTCTCCGTGCCCACGTGGTGCCAGCCGCAGACAGGGGCCAGGGGGCCTCGGTGCTGGAGTCTTCAGGGTCCTTCCTGCTTGCTCTGGCTCTGCCCATGGGGCGGGCAATTTTTCAGCCCGAGAGACACCATGCAGCCAGGATGGAGGGGCTGCCGAGCCGCAGCCGGGCCTCAGTGGGGCCCTGCCCCTGAGCTTCTCGGCTTCAACAGCAAACCCAGAGGTGACGGTGACGGAGCCAGCCTGGCCCTGGGTGTCCAAGGGTCCCGATGGCAACTGTGGAAGGACGACCCTGCCTGAGAATCGCTTCCCCCAAGGCCTACCAGCAACGTGGTGGGCGCCCCAGGGCCTGCTCTGCCGGGCACGTGCGCTCCCAGGATGGGTCAGGGCACCAGACCCAGGGCCAAGGGTCTCAGCGCTCCCAGGCTCAGCAGGGAGCGTGGAAACATTTAGGTAAAAGGGCCCTGGCCCAGGGTCAAGGCACCGCCGTGCCGCGGTTTGGCAGCTGCGCACTTAGGGGTAGGCCCCAGTCTCCTCCGAAGCGGGACTGGCCGGGGTCACGGGGGGACCCGGAAGAGCTGGAAACAGGTGGGAAGGCCCAGACCTAAGGTGAAGGCTGGGGAAGCAGCCGGGCCTGGGAGGGCAGGGACAGGAGCCTCCGTGTTTCTGCAGGACGTGTACCAGGGTAAGAGGCTGTGCCCGGGATGCTGTGACTGCCTTGCCAGGGCAGCAGGGCACGGAGGAATCTTGGCGGCCCCACAGCACCCTCCAGGAGCTCACAGCCCGGGTTTAGCGGCGTCCGCCTCCTACTCTGTCCTGCCTACAAATGCCCAAGGCCCTGGCCCGCCCTGGGCCACCTCCACGCTTCTGTGCACGTGACCCGAGAGCCCTCCCCACCCAGCATTGTCACCGCCTCCCACTGTGGCCACCAGCAGAGCCAAAATCTAGACAGTGTCAGAGCACGTTCCTCCTGGCTCAGCAGTGAGTGTCCAGCCACACCTGAGAACCAAGGGTGCAGCCCCGCTGTGACGGCTGCAGCTGGAACCCCAAGAAGCAAAACCCCAGGGAATGCTCTCCCCAAAACGTGAGACGTGATGGTGGATCTGGCCGTGCAGAGCCTGGGTCTGGGAGACCACACAGCCTGCTCCGTCATCCCAGCGGTGGGGACCTTCCCAGGCCAAGGCGACCTTGCCAGGCGTTGAGTGGAGAGGGCTTAGCTGGGGGCGGTGGGCCCAGGGGACATGAACCATCCCTGAGTGGCCCTCCCTCACCCTCCCGGGGCCACCTGGTCCCTGTCCGGGGCCATCTCTGGTAGCATCAGCTGACACTGAGCCAGTGCTCAGCAGGGCACGTGGCTGAGGGGTCCTCGCCCCTCTGCAGAGCCAGAGAGAGCTGCCCAGATCTCAACCCGGGTCTTCAAAGGGCTGCCCTGTGGACAGCCACACCTCGCCAGGACCCCAGGCGGTGCAGGTCAGCGGCGATGGGTCCACTTCCATCTCCCAGGACTGGTGCCTGTGGTCTGCCAGTTCTGCCTGGAGGGAAGCCTTGCTGCGCAGGGCGGTCCTTCTGTTGTGAGTGTGGCTGCACAGGAGAGTCAGAAAGGGATCCGTGAACGACTCACCTCACAGCCTGGGACCCGCCTGGAAGACAGCACTCAAGGCGGGACACCCTCTGCCCGGTAACACTATCTAATAGGAACAGGGCTGGGATGGCACCTGCCCCTGCCCCAGGACACTCTCCCAGTTCCCCAGCACCAGCCAGACCTCAGGTGACCTCCAGCAGGACCTATGGGGTGACCTGGATGTGGGCAGGCAGGAGTGCCATGGCCTGGGTCAGCAGGTTTCGGAAGGGGCCTCAGGGCCCCAGGCCACACCCATGGCTCAGCGCTTCTATCCACACCTACCGCCCCGGGGAGCCCAGGGTCCCCGAGATGACTGCAAGCTAGCCGTGCGGCCGGTGGCTGGCCAGTTTCCAGAGAAATGGAGATTTAAAAGCCACATCAGCACTAGCCTGTGTTTGACTCAGTTTCCCTCTGTGGATGCCCTTTGGGAAAATCCTTCACTAATTATCAAGTTTGTGTTGACCCCCACGCAGGGATTCGTGCTGCCCACTAAGCCGCATGTCAACAAGACACGTCTGTACTGCACACCAACGATGGGCATACACCACGCGTCTACCCCGCCCACCGCACACCAACGACGGGCATACACCACGCGTCTACCCCGCCCACCGCACACCAACGACGGGCATACACCACGCGTCTACCCCACCCACCCATCCCACGCATCTGTACGGCACATCCATACCTGTCTGTATCTTGTGTCTACACCACATGTCTGCAGCATGTGTCTAGACCGCCCATCTACAACATGTGTCTACACAGCCTGCTGGGTCAGCAGGCTCTGCAGGACATGCAGAGGAGGCCATCAGCAGCAGCCAAGGGGCTCCAGGAGGGCGTGAGCCCAGAAGGCATCCTCTGGGAGAACACTGGGGGACCGAGCTGGGCTTGGGGGTGACTGTGGACGCAACAGGAGAGGGCAAATGAACCTCATGTTCTCTAAGGCCACCTCTGCCCGCCTCAGGACGTGAAGCTGGCTCCCAAGTTTGAGCCCCTCCCACTTTCTCCCCAAGCTGAAGACCAAGCAGGGGTCTGAGTGCCAGGTGGGCACTGCTGTGGGTCCTCTGAGAGTCCAGAACTGGCGCCCTTGGCCTGGCCCGGCACCGCATTCCTGGTCATGCTCAGGCCTTGAGCCTTCGCAGCCGGCCATCTCTGAGCATTGCTCTTGGGCGTGGCCTGACTGCGGCAGCCCCTAGGCACATAGAGATGTCACAGGCTGCAGTCCCAGCTGCCCAAGTGAAACCAGAGGCCACATCTTCAGGGCTGCTGGGGTTCCCAACTCTGTGGGCCACTGGACTTCGCTCTGTGCTGGCACTTCGGAGTCTGCAGAGAGGAATGAGGGGCCCGGTGTATTCGTAGACAAAGGGCCAGCAGCCCAGAGGGCTTTGAATAGGGCCCACCTAGTGGGACAGAGACCTGGGGCTAACGCGAGGGAAGGAGGAGAAATCCCTGAGAGCTTCCTGGAGGAGTCACCATTCAGAAGCCCATTCTGAGTGCCTGTTGGGACAGAACTGCTTTCAGCACCCCTCCTGGTGCTTGGTTCCTCTCCTTAGCAAAGGGAAGTGCTGTCAACCCAGAGGCAGCAGCTCTGGGGCCAGAGATGCTGGTTTTCTGGGTGCACCCAGGCTGGGCTGCTTCTCCACTCTAAGGCTCAGCCTCTGCCTCAGCTCACAGGCTTATCAGCACTGCCCTGGGATGCACTGGCCTCCTGCTCTTGAGTGCCTCACCCTGCAGGGGATGGGGGCTCAGCCCCACCCCCGCCCAGGGCCCCTGAGGCTCAGGACAATTGTTGCCGGGGCTGGATTGTTACCTCGGAGACTCCGCCCTGGAAGCGGCCTCAGCAGGCCCGACCTGCGGCTGAGGGCGCGGTGCCAGCCCTGCCTGCCAGCCGCCCCGAGAGCCGAGGATCTCCGACCAGCGGCGCTGGAGGGCGGGTCTGGATTTGGATGAGGCTGAGAAGGGAACGCGGCCGGCATGTCGAACCCACACGCGTTAGACTCGCCCGCCGTGATTTTTGACAATGGCTCGGGGCTCTGCAAAGCGGGCCTGTCTGGGGAGTTTGGGCCCCGGCACGTGGTCAGCTCCATGGTGGGGCACCCCAAATTCCAGACGCCCTCGGCGGGAGCCCACCAGAAAAAATACTTTGTGGGGGAGGAGGCCCTGTACAAGCAGGAGGTGCTGCAGCTGCACGCCCCCATCGAGCGTGGCCTGATCACGGGGTGGGACGACACGGAGAGGCTCTGGAAGCATCTCTTCGAGTGGGAGCTGGGCGTGAAGCCCAGCGACCAGCCCCTGCTCACCACGGAGCCCTCCCTGAACCCCAGGGAGAACCGCGAGAAGATGGCGGAAGTCATGTTTGAGAAGTTCAGCGTCCCCGCCTTCTACCTGTCGGACCAGGCAGTGCTGGCGCTCTACGCCTCGGCCTGTGTCACGGGCCTGGTGGTGGACAGCGGGGATGGGGTCACCTGCACCGTCCCCATCTTCGAGGGCTACTCCCTGCCCCACGCGGTCACCAAGCTCCACGTGGCGGGCAGGGACATCACGGAGCTCCTCACGCGGCTGCTTCTGGCCAGTGGCCACACCTTCCCCTGCGTGCTGGACAGGGGCCTCGTGGACGACATCAAAAAGAAGCTGTGCTACGTGGCCTTGGAGCCCGAGAAGGAGCTTTCCCGGAGGCCGGAAGAGGGCCTGAGGGAGTACAAGCTGCCTGACGGGCACATCGTCAGCCTCGGGGACCCGCTGTACCAGGCGCCCGAGGCCCTGTTTGCACCAGAGCAGCTGGGCGGCCAGAGCCCCGGGCTCCCGAGGATGGTGTCCTCCAGCATCACTAAGTGTGATGCCGACATCCAGAAGATCCTCTTCGGGGAGATCGTGCTGTCGGGCGGCACCACCCTGCTCCACGGGCTGGACGACCGGCTTCTCAAGGAGCTGGAGCAGCTGGCCTCCAAGGGGACCCCCATCAAGATCACGGCTCCCCCCGACCGGTGGTTCTCCACCTGGATTGGAGCCTCCATCGTCACCTCTCTGAGCAGCTTCAAGCAGATGTGGGTCACCGACGCAGAATTCAGGGAGTTTGGGCCCTCTGTGGTGCAGAGAAGATGCTTCTGAGGGGCGCTGCTCTCGGGGCCCGGTGGGGAGAGAACCCGAGGCCTGGCTTTGGGAAACGTTCAATAAAGGACAGACGTCCGCGCGTCTGGCTACTCGGCCCAGTTCCTTCTTGGGGGCGGCAGCGAAGTTTCTGGCCCTGGCGGTGAATCTGTGGTGTCGGTCCACGCCCTCGCCCCCTTCGCTTTCTGCTAAGACAGCCCGGGCCGAGTGCAGGCCGGTCCGTCTACAGGGCCCCGGAGTCTGTACTCTTGACAAGGGTCTTAGGTGGGCAGAGAGAGTGGGCAGGGAGGGTGGGGACTAGCAGGTGCCACCTGGTTCTGAGGCCTCAGCAAGAAACCCCCACCGGTGTAGGTCCTTACCCGGCGCGCCAGGCCGGGGCTGAGCTCGTGGGAGGCTGGGCGGCTGGACAGGCGGAGCTGGGGTTCTCAGCGGACGGGAGCAGACGGGGGCAGACGGCATTGCCTGCTTAGGGCCCTCTGCACTCGGGGGTCCTGCTCCCAAAGGAAGAAGCGGCCCTTCCGTTCAGCGAGTGTGACGCTTCTGTTTGTTTTTACTTTCAAGGATGTTTACAGTTAAACATAGTTAACAAAGTGAACGGCCATCGCCAGCCTTAACGGTTGAGTGAATTACGCATGGAGGGAAGTTTTCCACATAGATGTGGTGGAATTCACCCAGAATATTGTTGGGAGAGAGGTGGAGAATACAGATAACTCATGAAATGCCCTTCCCTCAATTTTCTTTTCTGGGAAAAGCAAGCAGCGCCCCTTCCCTGTGTCTGTCCCTGTCCGGCCTCTGCATGGACACGTGCCTGTGCTCCGCGTGGTCACCACCAAGTGCACGCACCGTGGCTTCCGGCACGTGGCCGGGGGAAGAGGGAGGGAAAGGTGAGGCAGGAGGAGAGGACGAGGAAGAAGAAAGGACTCGGGAAATCCAGCCCGAAGGAAACGAACGCAATTCCCTGAAACGTGCCCTTCAGTCTTGCCACGGTGAGTCCTTTCCTGTCATCTCACTTTCAGCCGACTGTGCCGTACTGAGAGGGAGCAGGGGGCCGGGCTGAAGACGGAGTGTAGCTGGGTCACTTCTCATCCAGCCCGTCGGTCTCTGCCTTTTGACTGGCGTGTGCAGACCATTTGCCTGGTCGCGCAGGACGTGGGGGACGAGGCCCGCCACCCCGCTTCCCTCCGCCGTGCCTTCTGCTTCTCATTCCTGTTTCATCTGACCTCGCTCTGGGTTGCCGGAACCTGTTCAGGGTTGTGTCTCGATTTGTTAGCGTGTTTAGAGGATCTTGCTTGTGTAGGTTTCTTAGTGGCCACCCTGGGTGTGGCGCCGCATGTGCGGGGATGTATGTGCCACCACGGGCTGCAGGCATTGACGTGGTGCCGGTAGAGGGAAGCGCGAAACTTTCTTCTGTCCAGGGCCGTCCCCTGTCCCCTCTAAAGCACAGTTGTTCTGTCTCCGGTGCGTGTGCCGAATGCAACATCAGAGGGCCGTGGGATTTTTCCTTCAACCATCAAATATGATTCAAGAGGCTTGTGAAGTCGAATCTTTTGACCCCTGCTTTTACCTGGTCTGGCGTTCCTTTGTCCTGTCTGGAGCCCAAGACTCGCTCTGCTGTTCCTCCTGTGTTTACAGAGCGTCCTGTGGCCATTCCGCCAGGACAGGACGCTGGCAACAGAGTCTCGGCCTTCCTTCTCCCTCCTCCCGGGAGGGCGTGCCCACTGCGTGCAGGCTCTGCACGTCCCCGCTTCCCCCAGCACGTGGGCTCCCGGCCGCCCGGTTTCAGATCGGGCATCCTCTGATTCGCTGGGCTCCCCCAGGCCGCGGGTCAGCTCACTGCGGCTGCTTCAGAGTTCTCACTGTCTCTAGATTTCAGGAGTTTCATTTTGATGCATCTTGGGGTGGTTTCTTTGAGTTCGTCCCACCACCTTTTCCCACCTCGTGATTGCTGGGGGTTCGCCATCCTGCAGGGAGACCACTGACCCCAGGGGTCAGGCTGGGGTGGTGCCGATAAGACTGGCTCACACCGCCTGGCTCAGCCTCGCTGCTGCTGGGGGCGGTGGTGTGGGGGGCGGAGAGGTGGGGACAGGATGGGGGTGAGATGGGGATGGAGTGGGGTGGGGTGAGGTGGGGGTGAGGCGCGGCTGGGATGTTAGATCAACTCCCCACTCTTCCTGCTGAAACACAAAGGTGGGGTGTGGTGTTTTCATCGGCATGGGGCTGAAGTAAGGAAGTTTTACCAAAAAGTTATTCTGCTGGGTCACCCTGCTCCCAGTGGGAAGAGGCTTTTCTGGGAGTTTTTTCTGTCTGTGCCTGTAGGAGATTTGGGTCGGAGGCTTCTGAGCATCCTGTTAGACAGTCAGGAAGCCTGGGAGCCCCAGTCCTGAAGTCCCTGCCTGCCTTCCACCTTCCAGGCTTTCTGTGTTTGTTTGCTGTGTTACATCCAGCCTTGTAAGAGGCGGGGGGCCTGGGAGGAACGGGGCCCTTGAATGAGGTTTGTATTTCTTCCCGTGGTACCTGAAGGTTATAAGGAAATGTACCGTCAAAGCCCTTCCTGTCAGGGTCACCCCATTTTACAGGTGAGAGTGTCAAGGCTCAGAAGCTGTGTCTTTCCGAGGCCACACAGGGAGTTGGGAGCAGAGTTCAGCCCAGAGTCCCAGACCACGGCTCTGTCTCCTTTGTATACTCCTTCTAGATCCTTCTCCACTCCGGATGGTCCCCACGTTACTAAACTACACCACACATAAAGTAGAACTGGAAGAAAATCCTCTTCTATTCAAGACACCTTGCCTCTCCTCTAATGGCTTCTGCTACTGCTGCTATTGGCACGATGGTAGGAATGTGATGGTGTGGTGATAATGGTGGTGATGGTGGTGGTGGTGATGGGAATGATGATGGTGATGGTGGTGATGATGGCAATGATGTGATGGTGGTGATGGTGGTGATGATGGTGGTGGTGATTGTGAGGATGGTGGTGGTGATGATGGCAGTGATGATAGTGGTGGTGATGATGGTGGTGACATGGTGGTAATCATGATGATGGTAAGGATGGTGGCGATTTTGATGATGATGACGGTGGTGGTGGTGATGGTGGGGATGGTGACAGTGGTGGTGGTGGTGATGGTAATGATGATGATGAGGATGATGATGGTGGTGCTGACGATGGTGCTGATGACAGTGGTGGTGACAATAATAATGATGATGGTGGTGGTGGTGATGATGGTGATGTTGACCACAGCCAAGATGACTGTGGGGAAAATCATGATGGTGGTTTTCTGGCCTCTGGTTCTGAACTATGCTCTTCCTGGGGTACTGCAGTGAATAGATGGTAAGCAATCCCCCAGGGCCCTGATGGAGTTTCTAGAAGGAGCATTGTAACCCAGCTGGCTTTTAGCTGTGGCTTTCTTGAGAGGGGTGGAAGGCCCAGGAGGAGGTCAGGCAGACGAGGCTGCTGCTAATGAGGATGGAGAAGCTGGAGGAGCTGTGAGGTCAGCCTTCACATCTGAGGCTTGACCCTGCTTCAGCCTGGAGCTGTCCAAAGTGAAGGGCCAGGGGATGGGCCGGGCTAAGCCCTGGAGGAGGAGAGAGAAGCTCACGCTGGCTCTGAACTGTTTGGCCTTGCCTAGCAGGTGTCCACAGGAGCCGGCTTGAGCCTGTCTCCCTGTCTGGGACATACGTATTCCCACTGCCCAGGCTCTGTCCGAGGACTCCACGAGCCCCACCCAGCTCTTTGCTTTGGCCCTAAACAAGATCTTTCTGTGAAGTGCTGTTTGGATGCTGCATCTGTGGGCTCTGCAGGAGGGGTTTCTGGTTCAAAGGTCCCTGAAAGAAGAGAGAAATGGGAGCAGAGCACAGAGCATGAGGCCTGGTTCTTCATGAAGCTGACCACACAGTGATGCTGGTGGGGCTCAGAAGCTGTCAGCTCCTGCTCCTCTCCCTGGGGGCCTCTCAGAAGTGACCGCTTTTTCTGCAGGTGGAGGGCAGTCAGGGCCACGTCATGCTGGGTGCCCCTGCCTCCATCACCTCCTCCACTGACCTCCAGCCCTGGCTTCCATTATGGACCCTCGGGAACAGGTTCCATGAGAGCCCAGAAGCCCATCCATGGCAGTGATTAGACACGAAAGCACCACACTGGAGGCTCGGGCCAGGTGGGCACCCCCACATGGGAGGATCAGGCCAGGTGGGCACCCCCACACTCAAGTGCCCCGTGCTTCATGGCATGATCACCCCCTGGGACGTCAGGGAGGTTACCTCAGGGCACCTCTGCCACCAAGGGCTCCAGAGGCCTGTGCCCCGATGGAGATGCCACGATCCCTTGTTGAATGGTGCCACCGCGATGATGTTTTCTGAGGGACCTGGTGCTCCAGGGTCCTCTAACCCTGCAGCCTCATTTCAACCAGGAGAGGTGGCACACAGTCCTAGGGGCAGCTGCCTGCCCCATGGCATGGCTCCAGCCAGAGGGCAAGACATCACCTGCTGCCCGGCCCAGCTCCCGCGACAGCAGGACCCTCTGTGATCTGGGCTGAAGGTGAGGTGGGGCAGGACACTGGGAAGAAGCTCCCACCAGACCCTGGCAGAGGATTCGGGAGGGGGTGAGGAAGACAAGCGTGACTCTGTCCTCCCGTGGCCATGCCATCGAGGCAGAGTCCGGCCCTTCTAGGCCCTAGACACACTCAGTGTGGTTAAGGCCTGGGTCAAGTTTCCGGGAATCCACAGATGGGCCTAGAGGAGGGGCCGAGCGCAGCCAAGAATCTGCATGGCAAGAGGCCAACCCCCGAACCCCCAAACCCCCGAATCCCTGAACCCCCAAACCCCCAAACCTCCAAACCCTCAAACCCTCAAGCCCCCAAACCCCCAAACCCTCAAACCCTCAAAAGTCTGCCGAGGAATGGGTCCCACAGGCGGCTCCACCCTTCGCCCCAGCGGCGCCATGGGGCTGCCCCTACTTGCAGCGTTAGGATGCCACTCTGCTCCGCTGCGCTCAGTCTTCCCAGGTGGCGGGGGTCACCCATCCCACCTACAGGGAGCTCGGTACACACATTCCTCCCAGGCAGGCGCTGGCCCTCACAGGTGAGGCA